CTAATGTGTGGAACAATCATATTCTAAAATCATAGGTGGGACTGTCAATGCTTCTCCTTGACCCCTTTTTAGAAGGTAGGCCCTTAACTATTATCAATTTATCTGTGTTTCCAAACAAAGCCATGAGTGGTATGGCAAAGTTGTCATTATTTCATGTATAAATTGACTATAGCTAGTTTTCTATTTGTTTTTAAATGAAACAACGTTGTTTTTTTTTTTTTTTTTTTTAGAATCATATGTAAAACTTTGGATCAAAATAATTAATTTTCTTTTGGTATCATATTAAGTACTTGGACGTATAGAGAAGGGACTGATCTCCTTGTTATCCAAAACAAATGAGGGAAAAAGGAGAGGAAAGAATGACTGGGGCCAAACTTTATGGCTTATCCTTCAAAAAGAAAACGTCAAGTGGTGCCAAAAAAAAAAAAAAAAAAAGGCCAAAGGGCAAAGCTGTGATTATTACCATCATGATTTTGAGATTTTCTTTGTAGTTTTATGAAATTACCCGACATTTTCCTATATAAAAAAGACATGTATTGGAATTTTCTATAGATCACTTTGCGTTTTCATTAGCGGATTGTGCTCGTCAAACTCGTAACCAATGCAATTATTAAAAAGACATCATATACGAAGCGATATGGGAAAGAACAAGGGGAAACTTTTTTCGATTTATTACTTAAAAGGCGTGGCATACATTGTTCATTTAGCATGCTTGTTATTGAAACACTTTTTTTTTTTTTTCTTTTTGACTAAAGATACACATAAAATACCTTATGAATAATTTTCCCACATTATATTCTAATTAAATCAAGGTGAATTAATTATCTGTCACGAATAGTACTGCATGTTAAAATATTGTTTCCTATATATCTTTGCGATGCGGTAACTCTTATCATCTTTTATAGAACACAATCTAACACTATAAAAGAAGACAAACACGCCATCAAAACAACAATGAATTTATTTTTTTTATTTTTTTTTGGTGTTATTTTCTTCTTCCGAAATTCTTTCTCAAATCGTTTAATTTGTATTAACATAATGAGTGTTTTGTTATTAAATCCAGTCCCTTTTTTTCTCTCATTTTTATTAGGACGTCATTTAATTAACAGAATTGCAACGTGCCAATAACTCCTATCCACCGACCTCCAAAATTTCAAAGAACTGTTGAAAAAAATTCGTCCCACATTTATTTCCAAAATCTTATAATAACTTATATTTATGTCATTTCATAGGGCATGTTTGGCCCTATTAAAATGCTCTTAAAATTGTTCATCTAGTGCCCCACGTGAAAAGAGCTAAGAAACATTCTGAAAGTGAAACGACCACTTTGATAAAGTTTGGTTGTTTGGCTCGGAAGAAAATCGTGAAACTTCTGTTTTCTATTTTTCTTCTTTGATGAGAAAATCAACGAAGCTTATTAATGCTAAACAGATTATATATATGGAACCGCTAAGGAACAAAAGTCAGACATGCAGCCACAATTGTCAACTTATAGACCCTATCGTGTCTCAACAAAAATACGTTTACAGATCAAAGATTGCATGCAAATTTTATATCACTCTCAGTACCTTTGATATTAATACAAACGATGACACCTTCGACATTTTCAGAGTTTTATAGATCTGGTCCCACGTGTGATTAAATCACATTTATTTAAGATAATGGAGAAGTTGCGATGTCGCTTTTGTGGGACCCTTTATGAACAACAAGTCCTCTCGAAAATCTACGATCGTAGAATTCACGAGAATGGTCCACATATCGAACGGTTGCTATCCAAAGAGAAAATCATTTGGATTTGATGAAGGGCTCTTCCGTTTGAGTTCAGTGGGTCTTCATTTCTCATGTGTGGACCTTTTGTGAAGGTTGATGAACGGTCCAGATTGGGCGAAGCTGGCGTTGAACTTTGGGATTTTAGAGGTCAAAGCTTTATTTTATTATTATTTTTTGTTTAAATTGAGGAAGAAGCTCCGTGTTTTAGTAGGTCCCCCCCACAGGCCATAAAAGACCAACTTGCATGTGCGCCACGTGACACATATAAGGAAATTAGGCTAAAATAGAGGGGTTTTGGGTTTACTCAGTTTGGAGAGAGAGAGAGAGAGAGAGAGAGAGAGAGAGAGTACTGTGGTGCACTGTTACTTTTGTGTGCCAAAAGTAAATGTGGGGAGTGAATCAGTGGTCAGTCCCAATCACAGACCCAAAAGCCTATTGGCTTCAAAGCTGAGAAGATGAGGCTTTCTTTTTTACCCTTATTTTATTCCTCCTTTGCCTTTTCTCCTCTCTTCTAGGAAATTTCACTCCAAGACAGAAGACCTTGCTCGTTGTATCACGATTTAAATTTACAAAAATTTAAATTTAATTTTTTATCATAATATTTTATATTAGCCCGTTCAGTTCGTTAATTCGAGTTGAAATGTGATATTGTGTGAGAATTTTTTATTGTAATAAAAAAATTAAATGTGACTATTTATGAGAATTTTTTACTATAACAAAATTCGAATTAACGAAAATTACGGGGTTTGGTGCATTGCCATACTAAACTAAATTAAATATAGTTCTTGAAATTTGATTTTATCAAAATAATTATCAAATCCTGAAATTGGAAAGATATTTTTCAATGGAATTCTTTCTCTCCCAAAAAACTATCTTTCTTTTCTTGATTTTGAATTTTTTTTTTGTCCTACGTCACTTAGAATTCTTAACATTGATTTATTGGATATTTCATGAGAATCTCTTATGAGACGTTTAGTAGGAGGATTCATACCATAATTTGAATCATGATTTATGATTCGTTATAGTGTTTTTTCTCAAAAAAATACACGTAAATCAAAAATAATTCTAATCTATGAATCAAACGTCTCCTTAAATCAGAACGTGTGTTCAATCTTTGAGCGCTTTTTAGGTGTCTTAGGCATGTCTTTTGCTTGTAGGATTTAAAACTTCACATGAGGACAAAGATAAAAAAAAAATCAAGTGTGTAGTATTTGTTAGGAATCTTAAGCAGATTTTCACCCAACAATGTACTATATATATATTAAAAATACATAAGTAATTTAATAAGACGTCAATATTTAATTGAATAAACAACGAATCACACAAAAATATTTTTGTTACGTGGGAATAACATCTGTCATGATTAATGTTGTCAAAAGAGATTATTTAGGCCGACTTATGAGTTCTACGAAGAAAATAAGGGTCGGATTATGACATTATGTTGGTCCCCCAAGTCATAAAACCTTTCTAAATACATATTATAAGACCGCTGAGTATAACTTAGCAGTAACGGAGTATCTTTATAACATACTTAATAGGGATGGGTGATGTGCTATTCGTGTGATGGGTAGGATATGTTGTATGGTATTCGGCAAACATTCTTGTGATTTTTTTCCTTATTAGGATTAATAGTTGTGTTAGTCTCTTAATTTTGAGTATTGTGACATTTTAGTACCTAAATTTTTAATTTAAATGTATTAGTCACTGAACTTTTATTTGTTGACAGTTTTGATTCTTAACAGTAAAATTGACTGATGATTTCTGAAATTAGTGTAGACAATCATATCATTTTCGCATAATAGTAGAAAATTTTACATAAATAGCTAGTATGTGCAAAATATTACAATTTTTAATAGGTTTTAATAGTAATAACGAGAAAATTTTGCATATTACATAAATCTTTTTGTAAAATTTTAGATTATTATGCGATAAACACTTGTTTATTTTTTTGGTAAATTTTAAGAATTGTTCGTCGATTTTACTGTAATGACTAAAACAGTTAAAAAATGAAAGTTCAGATACTAAATATGCCTAAATTAAATATTTAAGACTCGTTTATTTCATATACTCAAACTCAAATTATTAATTCTGTTACAGTATTTTATTCTTATAAAAAATTTAAATTTCACACGTTATAATAAAAACAATATAATTTTATATATCTTTTAAATAGACCCTTAAAAATTAAAATATCACAACGTAGCTATTATCCTTTTAATAAAAGCAAAGTAAGAAAATATACCCAACTTACTATTGAGGTCAATCACACTCGTGAACGTGGACGAAAATTGGCTCTTAACTTGTCTTATTAGGGAGCACAACGCAATACGCAACTCCCAAACACACGAAATACAAACCCACCATCCAGTTCAAAAGAAGGTGCACGGCTATCGTACGTACTTCCTACCATTCAGTAGCAAATAGCAAGTAGTATTGGACTAATATTCGGACTGTTTAGTCGGTTAGATTCGAATTTTTACCTTAAATTAAAATATAATTTTATATGAGAATTTTTTATTATAATAAAAAAAATTTAGATATAATTATTTTTAAAATTTTTTTTATTCGAGTTTAAAATTTAAATTTTATTATAATAAAATTTTTTTAAAAATAATCACATTTAATTTTTTTACTACAGTAAAAATTTTTCACATAAAAATTACAATTCAATTTAAATTTAAAACTTAAATCAGCAAATTAAACAGATTATGAGAGTTTTTTATTATAGTAAAACTTATGGTTTGTTCTTTTCGAGTAAAACTCAAAAAAATTTTGAATTCAAGTTCATGTTCGTTTGTAAAATTTGAGTTTGAACTCGAGTTTGAGGCTAAAATCTTAGTTCAAATTTTTCCTTGAACTCAAGTTCTTAAACTCAAACTCAAGTTAATAAATATATTTTTTATATTCTTAAAAACGTCATAACTTTTTCATTTTAATTATGATTGAAATACTTTTTTTTATACGTTTACAATGAAGATGCGAATTAAACCTCACCTATATACCATATTAAAATTTTTCATTATTATTGAGTTTTTATTAAAATATTATATAAATTTAAATTTAAATTTTGGTTCACTCAAACACAAACTAAAATAAATTTTTAATTAAAATCACAACTCAAATATACACATTTAAATATAAACTCAAATTATAATTTAAATTTAACTCTCATAATTTAAAAATATAACCGAACAAACCCTTAAATTCTATTTCAAATCCATAAAATGAACCGGTCCGGCGTTCGTATTCCTCTCTCTCTCTATTCTCTGACGCGAGGACTGGTCTCACATGACTCTCTGCAACCCACGTATCCCACCACACCCAAAATAAGTTTTCTTTCCAAAATCAAACCCTCTCTCCTTCTTCCCCGGTTAAAGCTCTCGCCTTTAACCCTCTTCATATAAACACTGCCTTTTCCTCTCCTTCTTTAACCCATCTCTCTCTCTCTCTAGTCTCTCTCACTAAGCTTGTCTTAGTTTTTCTTCTTGTATTCTATACTGGCTCTCCCAACAATGGAAGCTTTCAGCCTGCTCAAATACTGGAGAGGCGGCAGCGGCGGCGGCGGCGACGGAGGAGTAGTCGGAGATCATAATATCGGCGTTTCTGCTTCTAAGAATTCGAAACCCATTACTTCTAACGGAGTCGCCGACGACGACAACAACGAAGAAAACGGCAACGACGACGACGGCCCCTTCTTCGATTTGGAGTTCTCTGTCAACGACGACGATGAAGAAGACGAAGACGGCGTAGAAGAACAAGTTGAAGAAGCCCAAAAATGCGACGAAGAAGAAGAGGAAGAAGATGAGGATGAGGAGAGCGAGTTCAAATTCACTCTCTCCTCCGGCTCCAGCAATAATGACCGTACGGACGGTACTGATAATATTCCAAACCTGTCTCTGTCTCCTTCCGACGATCTCTTCTTCAAGGGAAAGCTTGTTCCGATCGAGAGTTTTCCTTCTGATCAAGATCAACCAAACTCAAAGCCAGTAATGCAGTTTCCCGTTTCGCTTCTTAAATCGGCCACAAAGTTTCGTGTCTTCATGTTAGGGCTGAAGAAATCCAAGGCGAACAGTAGTGTTAGTACCTCCACCGAGAAACCAGAATCTGCAGCCACTGCCGGATCTTCTTCTAAAGAAGAGCAGCCGAAAAAGCGAAAGCAACAGCAAGCTGGGAAGTTCTTCACCGTCAAGTTCAAAGTCGAAGAAGTCCCGATTGTCTCTCTCTTCACCAGAGACAATAGTTCAAGAGTTTCTTCGAAGCAGAGCTCCGACAACGATTCTTCCTCCTCTTCCTCTTCGTCTTCGGACGAGAAACGTTTCGCCAAGGAAGTAATGCAGAGGTATTTGAAAATGGTGAAGCCTCTCTACGTTCGCGTCTCGCGGCGGTACGGCGAGAAGCTCAGATTATCCGGCCACCTCAGCCTCAAAGCCTCTCTTTCTAAATCTCCGTCGCGGGCGCCGGCGGATACGGCGGAGAAGAGTTCGGAGCCGGAGGTGGTTTCTGAAGCTCCGGCGAGCAGTAATGCGAAGAGCTTGAAGCAGGTAAACTTGCCGGCCGGACTCAGAGTGGTCCGCAAGCACTTGGGGAAGAGCCGGTCGGCTTCGGCAGCGGGGCCGGCGGCTGTTGCGGTGACGCCGCCGGAAACGGCGTCATCTAGGAGACGAGACGACTCGCTTTTGCAGCAGCAGGACGGTATTCAAAGCGCCATTTTGCATTGCAAGAGATCTTTCAACGCCATCAGAGGTAATTACTTAATTTATAATTATCAGTAATAATTATTAGTTATTTTCGCTAAGTTTTTATTTGATAACAAGATATATTATTATTTATTATTTTATTTTTATTTTTTGTAGATTCGGAGGCTTCTTTGTTGTCACGGTCTGTAAGCGATCCTTCAAGAAAATCATCAGAAGCGGCTAAAGTTTGATCAACGGTCGTGATTGGTTTTGTTTCTACATGGAAAAAGGGAAACTCATTTCTCAAAATCAGACCGAAAAGTGAAAAAAAAAAAGGGGAGATAATGAGTTTATTTTAAATATATGTTATGTATATTTATTTATAATTAGTCAATCTCTCCCTTATGTAAATTCAGATAAATCTTTCAAAAGGGTTGTTCAGTTATGATGACTAATGAGTAGCAATGAAGCTTCCCTATCTCTTTGCTGCCATTGTAAAGATCCACTTTTTATGTGAAAGTGAAAGAAGAAGAAGAAGAACCAGATCTCTGTGTCTATTACTTTGTAAAATCAGTAGTACCTTCGAATTATTCATGACAACCCAGAAATGTTATAATTTTCTACTCTCCCAATTATTATTATAACAATTATTACTATTTCTATTATTATTTGAGATATTTGTAGGCCAAAGATTAGATTTTTATCAAAACAATTAGGCCACATTAGACTGATTGATTGATTTCTTTGCATAAAACGTTAAACTCAGAAAATAGGTTTTAGCTTAATCCAAGTGGGTTAGATTTGTTTATTGGGTTAGGATTATGGGTGCCCGAGTCAAGGCTTAGAATTTGCTTTTTTTAAGTTGGTCAGAGAAAGAGGGAAAAGTTAAGACCAAAACAGTTAAAAAAGGATTTTTCTTTTTCTTAAAGGAGGAGAGAGAGAGAGAGAGAGAGAGAGAGGAGACAGGGGGAGTTAAAGACCCAAAAGAAAAGTCTGATTAGAGATGAGAGTGGGAATATTTGCACGCCTAAAACTCACACACACACACACACAAGCGCGCAAAGAGAGTCCAAAATATGAGTCCTGGTCATGAGGAGGTTTTTTTTTAATTTTATATAGTCCAATCAAAATCAGTCTTATAGTGGATATTGGAATTCGTGTACGTTTTGATTTTTGGTTTTTGGGTTTTGGTTTTTGAGTTTTGGGTTTTGGGTTGATGTTGTTGCAGCCAATTTGTATGGTTGTGCAAAATTAACATTTTAACGCAGGCGCAGGAGATTCAATTTGTCTGCTTGTGGCAGTGGCTTGGTCCTACAAAGCCGCTGCTCCATTTGTTTGCTCTGTGCCGCTCGCTGCCTGCTGCCCTGCTCGCCCTCTTGTCGTTTCTTGGTCAATTATCAGAATCTTTTAACACAGTTTCTTTCTTTCGCTGGAAAAGGTCAGAATCCCATACACATGGTAAAGAGTAATGCTACATCGCTCTTTCAATCATGCGTTTACTGTTTATTATCTCATTTTCTTTTAAAAATAATACGGCCGTTCATTTCTCACTGATTCGAGTTTAGAATTTGAGTTTTTTTACAGTAAAAAGCTCTTATAAGCAATCACATCTAACTTTTTTACTACAGTAAAAAGCTCTCACATGAAATCACATCTCAACTCGAATCAGCGAACTAAACGGACCATACATTATGTCAATTGAGTTTACTAGTTAAATAATAAATACAAATGTTTACATATTAAATAGTGAATACAAACGGTGACTGATAATAAACTACAACAATATACTTCAAAATTCGTAAGGGTTTAGTGTTGTTTTATAAAATTAACGTACTTGCGACTTTAAATGTTGTAAATGCAAAATAAACAGATATGTTTACGAAACAATATTGGTAAAGTGTATTAGACTCGAAAACGCACCATGAAACGAGCCTAAAACATCAGTATTTATCTACTCATAGAACTTTGTCAATGAAATACCTTGTGCCAAAATGACTACTCATTACTCGTCCCAACTTGTGTGCGATCTCGCCTAATTTTCTGAAAATGAGTAATCTTGGCAAAAGTTAAAAATATTAAGGTTTTGTTCATTTTACCGATTCGAGTTTAAAATTTGAGTTTTATTACAGTGAAAAGCTCTAAAAAACAGTCACATTTAATTTTTTTACTACAGTAAAAAAATTATCACATAAAATCACATTTCAACTCGAATTAAAAAATCGAATCAGTAAACTAAACAGGCCCTAAATTAACAGTGTGCACAAACCAAACATTGGTTGAACTAAAGTTGTGGGAACATATATAAAAATCTCAATGTTGTCACCTTCAGTGGATGGAACTGAGTTATATTTGTAACATTGAAATAACATCTCTTTGAAAGCTGTTATTATCAATCCGTCCCCACAATAGCTAAACTATTGCCTTCGTTATTTACGTTTGGTAAGTGAAATGAATTTGAACGCCGTAGCCTTTTCCCCAATTTAATAAAGAGAAGTTGGTTTTGTTCAGTAATGATGACGTATGTGCTACACTTGGGAGTAAATGAACAATTTGCAACTTTGTTCTCAATAAATGAAAATTCACGCGAATTGCACTGCTTTTTAGTATATGGTAGCGGGGAAAGAGATAAATACTTTTTAGAATTTGTGGATCTGAATTTTTATTTTTCAGTTTTAATTAAATATTATTTTTAATTAACTAACTATATTAATTAAAAAATAATTAATCAAGAGAAATTAATAAAAATTTCGACTCATACACTTTAAGAATAAATTTAATAATTTTCTCGGTATTATTTAAAGCAGGAGTAGCATGGCGCATTACAGGACTACAAATAATGCCAATTTATTATTGGTGAGGTAATACAATTGGCTCAGGAAGTACATCGTGATTTCTTCTTAAAAGCATACTCTAATCATCCTACATATGTTCATCTTGTCATTGGCTACTTAGAAAGTTAAAGATCAATAATGCGTTATATCTATTTGTTTATGACACAATTTTAAACCATCAAATAACAGAATGATATAAATTAACTGAGGAAGTACACCGTAATGTCTTCTTAAAAGCATACTTTAATTATCCTTCTTATGTTCATCTTGTTATTGTCTATTCAGAAAGAAATTACGGACTAAGAAAAATATGATAATTTAATAACTAGATGAAAATCTGAATTCTACCAATTTAAAAAGATGCCGTCTTGATAAATATATATATTTTTTTAAATGGTCATTTTCTTTTTGTAGAACAGTGAACACTTTCATTTTTTTCTCACCGAGTTTAACTTTTCCCCTTCCCTTTTCCTAGTTTGGCCTTTACTAGAGGATTCTCTAGGATTCCATATATCTGTCTTATTTTGTTATATAAAACTAGATGCTTACAAGGTAATAAGTCCAATTCCACCGAATGAATAGTTTAATGCAAAACAGAAATATCACATCTTCCAAGGATAAAATTTTCATAAAACTCATTTGTTGGAACATCATTTGACATTTTCTTTCCCTAGTAGTCACCGTCTACTTCACATGTGAATTAGTAAATTTGTTATATTCTATGTGTGTGTTAACATACCGCGTGTCCCAGATTTATGCAAGTTTCGCCACATGGCTATTTTTAGTCTCATTTAACTGCCACTTAGTTATTTGGTTTGGATTTTGATAAATAAGGATATATTACATTATAAATATGTTTTTTTTTCCTTTTAAATCGGCCGGCTTCCTTCACAACTTTACATGGTGCTTGTTTATTCTTTTATAAACACAACATTATGAGATTTAAATGGAATCGTGAACCACAAAATCACAAATGATAACCTTTGTTTCTTTCTACGGTTCCCCTCTGTTTTAGTTTATAAAAGAGTTAATATTAAAAATAAAAAACAATAAAAGAGAAAAAATAAATATGGAGAAGTAGTTTTAATCTCTTTTCATTATGTGTTTCCATTCTTATGAAGGCTCTTTACTGACAACACACATTGTTCTTTTATAATTTAAAATTGATATTTAAACAGAATTTTTGAATTTTATTTTTTATATTGCATAACGTGTGAATAAATTTGACTTGCAATAGAATATTAAGTATTAGTTGCACTCTTCCATTCTAAGCCATGTGATTTTATTTTATATTTTTGTAACACCATCAAAGCGAATATGGACTTTAAATAATGGAAATATAGACCCCGTAATTACATAATCACTACAAGAAAAAGCCTGGAATTTGGGAGTAAATACTCATTTAAAGAGATTAAATTACCAAGAAAAGATGATATAAGGAATGACATTATTACATCGAGAATTTAAAGACATGAACAGAAACACTTACTTTTGACATCTTTGATCTTTTAAGAAAAATGAAGTTTGAATTGTTGAACCATATTCATGTACATTTGATTTGAACCAATTTTCATATCTCGATAAAAACATCATCCGCTGAAAGAGAGATCCTTTGCAGTTACTTTCGAGTATATCCTCTGTATTTACCGGCACTTTCAGACATGTCCATAAAAAGTTAGAACTAGGAAGTGGTTTGGTAATGCAAAATGCTCAAGCCACCAAATCTTCATCCAGCTATCTTTACAGGATCTTTCTCTCTGGTAAGACATTACCGGTTTCTAATCGTCAAATTTAGTTAAAATCACATTAAATTAAAAAGATATGCAGTTTAGACATTTTTCAATACAAATCTGAATACTAAAAGTAGAGAATTGCCGGTGATTTATTTTTTCTGATTCTACTGAAAAAACTCTCGATCTTTGCGTATTTATTTTAAAGGGACAATACTCTGTAAAAAGAGGTTGCATGTTTGAAGAGTGGTTTTGCATATTTCCCATAAGAAGAAACTCGCTCAATTCATGCACCATAGGAGTTGAGAAATGGTGACATTCGGATACACAGAACAAAAGGAAGTGAAAAGTGACTAGTTTTGGATTTCTAAATAGTGGGATAATACATGTATGTGCAAACGACTGAGTAGATATTAGCAGAATTTTTGTAACCAAGGATGATTTGGAGAATTGGCTCTCGTTTCTGTGTTGATTTACCTTCCTCCATTCCAATTCCATTACTAAAATCACGTTCAAGTCACAAATACACAAATGCATGCTAGGAATACAATTATTAATTAATAGAGAAGTAGGAGCTTAACTCATGTAGAGGTCTCTAACTACGAGATAATCCTAGATTTATGTACACGTGGTCCCAATGATCCAACTTCCTTTTGACTAAGAAGATCATAAATTAGCAAATTTCTCTTTTTTCTGGTAGCTCAATTATGGGGTCAATAAAGTTCATAATTATTGCCAAATGAAAGCTTAAGCTAAATAAAAAATAGCAAAGTATAGGAGCCTAAAGACAAAAATGTTAAGTAGGATGAGTCATTCTCTCACACATGAATAATGACATTAGTGGCACCTGGAAATGCACTCTATTTTATACAGAACTAAAAATTAAGCAAAACTGAAAAAAGGGTGTGAAGATTTTATTGCGATTTTTGCTATGAGTTCACTTTCAAGCAAAAAAAAAAAAAAAAAAAAAAGATGGGCTATGAGTCTAGAGATTAGAGGCTCTTGTAGTGGTTACTTTTAACGAAATTGTGCTTGTATTTATGCTTACGAGGCATAGTGCATTGGACTTTCTGTCTAAAGT